AATAAAATGCTTGTCCTCATACACTAAGAAGGTTAGGTTAGGTCATGTTTTCTATTCAGCTTTTCAGGTAAACTCAAATATTCACAATATTTTGGTGCGATTCTGGCGATTATTTGACAGTACAGTTTAACACTAAGTGTAATAAGTACAATTCCTGACTGCTAGGAATAGTACATAATTACACTTACTTGTGCCATTACGTTTACCTCCCCAATATTAGGAGGATGGGCTGCTGGTGGATGGCGGTAGTGGCTGAGCAGATAGCACGTTGAACACGTAATCCTGTGGACCGGGGTTCGATTCCCGGCGCCGGGGAGAAACACAATGGGCAGAGTTTCTTTCACCCTGATGCCCTAGTTACCTAGCAGTAAATATATACCTGAGAGTTAGACAGCTGTTATGGGCTGCTTCTTGGGGGGGCGGGGGATAAAAATTAATTAGTTAGTAGTTAGTAACAGTTGATTGATTGACAGTTGAGAGGCGGGCGGAAAGAGCAGAGCTGAACCCCTGCAAACACAACTAGGAGAATACACATCACCACCACACACTAATGGACACTTGGAACAATATACAGGGATTACCTCCGTTGTTTCCTCCTTGTGCAATATGAAGGAAAAGTGGAGAAAACGAACATAATAAAATAGTTCCCCATGATATAAAGTGTTGAGCGGAGAGTTATATAATAGCAGCGGAACAGTACCTCAAGAGGAAAACATATTTTCCCGTCACTGTTCCAACAGTGACGGGAAATATTCGGCTCTCTTCCTTAACTATCAAGTTGCCGCCAAAAATTACTATAAATATTTTTCTTCGTATCTGATCGTCTTTTTAAACGGAAGTCTTATTATATATACATGTGGAGGAGGAGGCGGGGCGGAAGCTGACGTGACTGACAGTGAATTGAGGGTATGATGGTGTTGATATATAAGGCACTGACTGTAGCGGCCTTACTAAGAGGGTGGGTATGTTGCCAGGTGGGTATGTTGTCAGGTGTGTATGTTGCCAGGTGGGTATGTTGCCAGGTGGGTATGTTGCCAGGTGGGTATGTTGCCAGGTGGGTATGTTGCCAGGTGTGTATGTTGCCAGGTGGGTATGTTGCTAGGTGTGTATGTTGCCAGGTGTGTATATGTTGCCAGGTGTATATGTTGCCAGGTGTGTATGTTGCCAGGTGTGTATGCATTGCCAGGTATGTATGGTGTCAGGTGTATATATTGCCAGGTGTGTATGTTGCCATGTGGGTATGTTGCCACGTGTGTATGTTGCCAGGTGTATATGTTGCCATGTGGGTATGTTGCCACGTGTGTATGTTGCCAGGTGTATATGTTGCCAGGTGTGTATGTTGCCAGGTGTGTATATGTTGCTAGGTGAGTATGTTGCCAGGTGTGTATGTTGCCAGGTGTGTATGTTGCCAGGTGTGTATATTGCCAGGTGTGTATGTTGTCAGGTGTGTATGTTGCCAGGTGTGTATGTTGCCAGGTGTGTATGTTGCCAGGTGTGTATGTTGCCAGGTGTGTATATGTTGCCAGGTGTATATGTTGCCAGGTGTATGTTGCCAGGTTTGTATGCATTGCCAGGTATGTATGATGTCAGGTGTATATATTGCCAGGTGTGTATGTTGCCAGGTGTGTATGTTGCCAGGTGTCCATGTTGCCAGGTGTCCATGTTGCCAGGTGTGCATGTTACCAGGTGTGCATGTTGCCAGGTGTGTATGTTGCCAGGTGTGCATGTTGCCAGGTGTGTATGTTGCCAGTTGTGTATGGTGTTGTGGTGTGCATGGTACCAGGTGTGTATGTTGCCAGGTGTGTATGGTGTTGTGGTGTGCACGGTACCAGGTGTGTATGGTGGGTTGGTGTGCATGGTACCAGGTGTGAATGTTGCCAGGTGTGTATGGTGTTGTGGTGTTCACGGTACCAGGTGTGTATGGTGTTGTGGTGTGCATGGTACCAGATGTGTATGGTGTTGTTGTGTGCATGGTACCAGGTGTGTATGGTGTTGTGGTGTGCACGGTACCAGGTGTGTATGGTGTTGTTGTGTGCATGGTACCAGATGTGTATGGTGTTGTTGTGTGCATGGTACCAGGTGTGTATGGTGTTGTGGTGTGCATGGTACCGGGTGTGTATGGTGTTGTGGTGTGCATGGTACCAGGTGTGTATGGTGTTGTGGTGTGCATGGTACCAGGTGTGTATGGTGTTGTGGTGTGCATGGTACCGGGTGTGTATTGTGTTGTGGTGTTCACGGTACCAGGTGTGTATGGTGGGTTGGTGTGCATGGTACCAGGTGTGTATGGTGTCAAACATACCATACACACAGAGATCAGCAATGACCTTACAGACAGTTTAAGTTAGTTAAACTGTCTTGTTAGTTAAACAAGGTAGTTATTTGAAAATGCAGTCAATTGCGGTTTTTGTCTTAATACACAAAAATAGCAAAACGGCATTTTCATATCCAAAGCGTATCATATATATATATATTTGCGGGGCCCGAATTTGTTTTTTAATATGGAATAATAGCGCCAAACAAATGTCGACCTTTGACAATATAATATCCGAAACAATGGCGAGAGTCACGCTCTTTTTTAATGCAAATTGTTGTTCACAGTGGGCAACAGTCACTTCGTGTGAGGCTTAGGGGGCCCACGACCTAGTACCGTAACACTTATAATCTTATATGGCAAAATAGATTAGAGTATTTATTGTAAACTGTTTATTATATACTTTGAATCTGTGCATTAGTAGTTATTAAACTGTGTATTTGGCACTGTATTTAGTCACAGATATTGCCGTGGGGCTGTCCAATAACTCATTAAAGGCTATTATTGTAATAGATTACATTTTGCTTTCATTTACATTTTCGTCTTGCCTAAAAATTTTAAAACGCAAAATAAAACAAAAATGTAAAGATCAATAGTACTTTTTAAGTCGTTAGAATACGGCAGGTTATAAAACCTATGGAACCGCCTACCCGCCCGAAGCTGTACACCTTTGCTATAAACTCTGCCGGGTTTTTAGAAAAACATCGGAAAAGTATCATCAGGGCAAAATGGAGAGACCTCTCCAAATCCCATTCACCTCGCCAGGTGGTCGACAGGGACAGTGGACAGACGGACCACTGGGTGCCAAACCAGCCCCAGAGTTTACCCAAAACGGAAAGAGTGTACTTAAGAGTGTACTTCCCCAGCAGCAGCAGAATGCAGCAGCAGCAGCATTCTGCTGCTGCTGCTGGTGAAATAGACGCCCTCACTACTTCGTACACATCGTCAGCTAGACCACGGGGCGGCTGGACCACGGGGTTGGCTGGACCACAGGGCGGCTGGACCACGGGGCGGCTGGACAACGGGGGCGGCTGGACCACGAAGTCGGCTGGACCACGAAGTAGGCTGGACCACGGGTCGGCTGGACCACGGGTCGGCTGGACCACGGGGCGGTTGGACCACGGGGTCGGCTGGACCATGGGGCGGCTCAACTACGGGGCGGCTGAACCACGGGGCGGCCGGACCACGGGGCGGCTCAACTACGGGGCGGCTGAACCACGGGGCGGCCGGACCACGGGGCGGCTCAACTACGGGGCGGCTGAACCACGGGGCGGCCGGACCACGGGGCGGCTCAACTACGGGGCGGCTGAACCACGGGGCGGCTGGACCACGGGGCGGCTGGACCACGGGGCGGCTGGACCACGGGGCGGCTGGACCACGGGGCGGCTGAACCACGGGGCGGCTGGACCACGGGGCGGCTGGACCACAGGGCGGTGGACCACACACACAGACCTGAGTGTAACGAGATGCTCGGCTCATGGTCGCCAAGGGTACACGCGGCACACAGTTACACAGACAGCTGATGGTGGTACCACGCCCTCCTTACTGAAGCGGTACAACAGGTACAACGGTAGGCAGTGCTACACGGCACACGAGAATGACAGAGTCCTTCACTGTTCACTGCTAATTCCTCGGAATTATGGATTTAAGGTTTCCCTCATAACACTGAAACCTTTCCTAGCTTGTCTCACTGCGATACGTTGAAGCTAAGGTACGACAGACGGCGGATGTCACTAACACACGACGATAACAGCCTCCCTCAGTCCAGTTGCTCTGAGATGGCGTCTCACGATCTTGCGGCTTAGATGACAAAGTTCACACTGTCAATATCGTTGAATATACCTTCCCGCGATGCCGGATTCTTACGCACGTCACCCGGAAAGATAGTACGACGACGATAGTGACTTTAGTGATGTTGCAGGTGATATTTCCTGGTGCTTGGCCTTAGCACGAGAAAATACGTCTTTCGTTAGCAACGTTCCTGGTAAGAATAACTATTTTGGTGCCAAGACGGCCCAGGGTGCCATGCGGTACCCCTTAGCTTCTTGACCAGTCACGGTTCAGCATTCCTGAGGCCCAAGCACCTTGGCCCATGGCGTACCTACCTCACGACACTACCCCCTCTCTCACGAGGTGGACACGTGATGGGGAGCAGCCTACAGGAGGTTAACCCCCCCCCCCCCTCCAAACCTCCCTCAACACTTGAACTAGTACAAAAATTTCCCTGAAATCAACTCCCTCCTGTAATTTCCTTCACAGACCTGATACAGTGATCAGCATGCCATCAATGGCTAGCAAATGTCACAGGCTGTCTAACGACACCCAACACGACTGTGGAAAGTTATATTCAGAAAGTTGAATCACGGTGCATATCATTGGTGCAATATGCAATTTCGTACTTCATCCAGTGCACGAGAGAGCAGGAAAAATCTGTCTCCTGACATCAACCTCCAACTAAGGGTTTATTTCACTAGAAGCGAAATACACCCCACCATTTTCCCAGCTCGAGGGTGCACTGAGCACGAATGTCACACTCTTTGACAGCTCACTTCCGGTTGGGTGACAGTGGGTGGAGACTCCGTTTTCTATGCGACGTCACTCTGAGAGACTTGGGGTGACTCCTCCGGTTCGTCCTGGGTAGTGTTACCTGACTTAGGCGCGGAGTGCTCGGCTCCAGGGCCAGGCTGAGCTAGCTCGACGCCTCGAAGCTAGGCGGAACCTCAAGCTCTGCAGCTCCGGCTTCAGTCTGTGTCATACCGAACACACTAGCAACACCCTGGGATGGACTACTCGGAGAGGCACCATCTTCACTCTCCTCTGACCATGATGACGCATCATCACGTTCCTCATATTGTTTTAGCATTTTAACATGGTACTTCTTATTGACCCCCCTTACGCATACGACGTACGTCAATGAGTGACTGCACTCAGTGATGGTGAAGGGTCCCTTCCACTGCAGCAGGAGCTTGTTCCTGCTTGTAGGGAGGAGTAGGAGTACTTTATCTCCCACCTTAAACTTCCTCTCCCTGGCCTTCTGGTCGTACCTGCTCTTCTGGTACTCCTTGGCCTTGGCGAGTTCCTCCCTGGCCAACTTACACGTCTCTTCTAGACGGTTCCTCAAATCTATGACGTACTCATACGTCGTCTTGGTTTCTGGGGTACAGTCTTCCTCCTCCCATAGATTCTTCAACACATGCAGCGGTCCCTTTACCGTGCGACCATACAGGAGCTCGAACGGTGAGAACCGGGTACTTGCCTGGGGTACTTCCCTGTAGGCAAACAGTACCGGGTTAATGTACCTTGGCCACTCCTTGGGTTGCTCTATGCACATCTTCCTGAGCATTCTCTTTAGGGTACCATTAAACCGTTCCACCAACCCATTTCCCATAGCATGATAAGGTGTGGTGAATGATGGCTGCAGCATGAGTAGCCTAGCTACTTCCGCCATCATCTTACTGGTGAACTGTGCCTCCCTGTCGCTGTGTATCTTCTCAGGTATACCGAGGCGACTGAAGAACCCAACCAATGCTTCCGCCACTGTGACGGTCTCAATATTCTTCAAAGGTGCCGCCTCTGGATACCGAGTAGCATGATCTACCATATCAGGATATATCTGCTGCCGTCTGATGCCCTCGGCTCAATCGGGCCAATTATATCTACACTGACCATCTTAAATAGTTGATCAATGATGGGGAAAGGCTTCAGCTTCCCTGGCTGCACCTTACCTCTGTCAGCGGTGCGTTGACAGGCGTCACACGACCGAGTGTACCGCTGTATGTCACCAGTCATCCCTGGCCAATAGAACGATGACTGAATTCGTTCACTGGTCTTAGCGTGTCCCATGTGGCCCCCCATTACTCCCTCATGACCGAGAGTAAACACAGCTAGGCGGTGCTCTTTGGGGACCAGTAATTGTTACCAAGTGTCCTGGGGTGTTTCCACCCTGCGCATGTCGGAAAATCCGACAGCATTTAATATATCATACAGATAATAGCTGTGTTGTATAAACAAGTTAACCATAGAAAACGTAACTTGTAGTGGAATTACCGTCTATAGAAAACGGGATATCATCACCACATACTATTATAATTCACCACCTATTATGGTGGGAATTATTCTTAAATACATTAGTCTTTGGACTTTACCATCATAAAAACATCTTTTATAAATTAACTTAATTATCAATATTAAAGTAGAGTAAATGTGACCCTTCTATCACTTTCTGACATGTGGACAATGTAAGCCAGGCGTCAGAGTGAGGAAGGAGGGAGCCATTGTTGTGTCACCTCCGAGACGTGTGGAGCAAATTTGGCTCCTATCATATCTGGACAATGTCGGCCAGGCGTCAATAGTATGGAGTGTTAGATGCAGCCATTGTTGAGACTAGACCAGAGGCTCACACGGGAGCAAATTCGGCTCCTGTTAAATTTACTTGGACGTAGTGTTATGGAAACTAAAAGTGTACCATTATCAACACGCTGTCTACAAATTCAAGTTAAGTGTTCTTTCCGAAACCCATTATCTTTCATTTATGGCCATTAATGTCATTATATAGGGTGACCCGGTTAGAACGCGAAATCGCCTCAAACTAAAGGTAATTAAGCCAGGTCTTTATTGTTCCATGTACAGTATTTTCTCTGATATAGCTTGTCATATATAGAATCTGGCTTTACAGCTAGCGCCCTTTTGACAGGTCAAGACGAGGAAGCAAGATTTTGTGCACCAGTTACTGGGGGATGGAAGCTACCTCAAAGAGGATAATTTGTTGTCTACACCCTAGTTATACCTGGTGGACTAACCTGCTGTACTATAAGATAAGGAACCTCTTCAATGTATGTAGTCTATTACTGTAGTTTGATTGGCTGCATATATATAAACTAATAAACCCCCCCTAATGTGTAGAGGATCGATTTGTGAGATTATGAGATTATTGCAGAAATACAGTCCACTTATCATTATACAAATTGCTATCGAAGTATATAAATTAACGTAAATATAAATTCATATAAATTAAATAAATATAAATCTCACAGGTCGGTTCCCACAGCGCACTAGCTTACCCTTAACCTCCAAGTACTTATACTTGCGCTTATTCAAGGTGAAGACCTTGCCCTCTGCGGCATGCTCTCTCATCTTCCTGAGTGTGGGGTCTTTCCTTTGCGCTTCCTCGAACTCTTTAGCGCTTACTCTTTTCAAAGAATGTAGTTTCAGCGGCTTGACCACTTTGGTGGGTTGCGCACTCATTGCGCGTGTGGTCACCGCGGCTACTAAAGCCTTGTTCCCCCTGGGAGCAGCAGTGACACCCTCAGTCACCAGGGGTCTTCCCCCTCTCCTCTTATCTACCTCCGAGGCGGCGGTGACCCTTGCCCACCCCCGGGGTTGGCGGGGCCTGGCTGGATCAGCTGATCGAGCCCCCACCCACCTGCTTGGGGTCTTTTCCCGTTTTCTGTTGGCAGAAAGGAGCAGGCTTCCCCCGTTTTCCTTGCGCCTGCTGCCTCTGTTCCCTAGCTGGGGAGGCAGCCATGGCTTGGCTACCAGCTGGCTGGCGCGTGACGTCACCTCCAGCTGGAGTGGGTCCCATTTGCTCTGAGTCACTTCCACAGGACCGACTCTTACTATCTGACACTCCAGGGGCGTGTCCCAACAACAACCCGTATACGGCGTGCCTGCATTGCACAGCTCGTATTTTACCTTTTACAAAGGGTGTGTCAACAATCAGGGATACCTCGATCATGTCTCTCTGGGTACCATCAGGGTACCTGACTCGGATAATCCTTCCTGTCTCGTTCCCAGGCTTGACAAGGCTCTCTCGGACCATATGAGTGGTAGCTCCTCTGTCCCGAAAGACCTTGGTACATTTACCATTAACTAAACCTCTTGCTGTCTCCAGGGTACGTGTGCTCCAGAGGATCACCTCTCCTGTGGGCTCCCAGACCAGCAATCTGTGCTTGTGTCCCCCCCTTCTCCTGCACGCTTGCCCTTCTTACATTGAGCTGCCATGTGGCCTGGCGACTTACTAGAATTAACCCAAAAAAGGGAAAGACAAATAATAACAAATGGAGATATGGCTGGAAACACTCACCGGGTATTTAACTGATGAAGTGTTTTGAAATGATGAAGCTTGCATTGTGTACCCTGTAAACTGCATTTCTTGCATTCCAAAGTGGATGGAGAACGACATATCAGTGAAATACAAACACACTAGTTCCTATGATGAACTCCGATTTGTATATACTCTCACAAGATATCTTCCCCACGATCGTCCAATACCCGGTTCAATTCATGTCTCTAATCATGGAGCCGAAAATCTTCCCTGCATTATTGCAGTAATATGGGATAGCGGTACCATAAAGAACAATGAGATTGTCAAGTCGCTCATAGAAACATCTAAATATCGCAATATGCTCGCTGGATTAAAAGAAGATGCAACTGTTTCCTAATTACAGTTAACATTCCTTCCAACCTATTGGAGGATGATGAAATGAGGTGTAGTCCAATAATATAAGCAATCAAGAAGCAAGTAACCATGAGTATAATTTCCATAGTGATTCAGTTAACCTCAGTACAGACGCTTCGGAGTTACCGGAGTTCAACCTGAAGAATGTAACACTCGGTGTATGCAGTTCTAATCGACCCCCAGACGCTCCAGCTTCGACACAGAGCAGACAGCAGACTATAACGGCATCGAGCTACCACGCTCTCAGCCTTATCGAGCTTAGACCTTCACCATCTCATCGAGTTTAGACACTCACCATTCCACATCGAGCCACCACGCTCTCCCGCATAGAGCTCCACGACTCAGGCCTCACTCAGCTCTCTGCTCTGCTCCAAGTTTCATCTCAACCTCTATGACACTGCCAACAACTAACTGCTGTAACCTAGACTACTAAATATATATGAAAACCCACTAAACACTGTGTGTCTATTCTACCAAACAACGTAACATAATCATACATTACAAAGATATCGATTTAGTAGCGGGATTACAGAGAGATACAACCTTTAAGAGACGTTGGTGTTTTAAAAAGGCTGTGAGTCGCATGAGAAGCCAAGAGTAACAATTCTATATTACTTCTATATTATCTATTAAAATCAATCCCTGCAAACTATTTATCTATTTCACCTTCGTCTCGCACCCACTCGATAAAGTTGGGTATTCCATTATATGCCACTTAAATCGACCTTAACCCTATTTCGACGGGTAGCCTTGTTTCCGACCCGCTACAAACACCACTGTATATGGTCTCAACGGCTTTAATTTTGTTGGCTCTTTGTCTTTGCACATGCCCGTCTTCTAAGTCTGCACCTTCATACTGCCTTTCAATTGCCGCCAAAGCCTTTATGTGAGTGAACAACTTGGGTAATTCCTCATACTCTACGACACAATGACTTCGGGCAATAAACACCAGTAGTGACTCCCAGCATTGCCTCCTCCTCCTTCCCTCAACATCTGCCGCATGATGGCCAAGCTCCGCTAAAAGATATAAAGAAAACAATATTTTAATTACACACTCACACTCTAAGAGAGAAAAAAATTCTCATTAACAATTATTTATCTCTCTCTTAGGACTATATTCAAATTGTTGTTTAGATTTTAGCTACTCAGAACGAAATGTCAATGTAGCACATTGACATTTGTCTATGGTGAGCCCATAGAGTATTGAAGTCTATCCTTACCATTTATAGTCTCCATCACTGCTTGTGCGTGTGATCTCTCACTAAGAACTCCACACTCGAGCTAGATATAAGCCAAGACTGCCCGCACTCAACCAGGGTTTCCACTTTTTTATCTATAAATTGGAGTAAATAAGTTTGCATTTCCTTGAACAGTATTTTTTGGGGTCAAATTCTCAATGTGGGAAACAAATACTCAAATGTGTGTTAAAGAAATAATATTTTTTTAAACCTCCCTATTAATGGGGCGAAAATAAACGAATCGATCACAAACCATTTTCTCCACAGTTTGCGAATGTGATTGTATGGGTTTTTGCATAAGTTTGAGAATATAATTTAATGTTAGTTTTATAATAATAATAATAATTTTTATTTAGGCAAAGGTACATACATAAAGAGATTTTACAAAGTTTGTTGGCTTTATAGATAGAGCTAGTACATACAATGCCTAAAGCCACTAGTTCGTTGGCCTAAAGCAAGTTTGCGTTCGTTCAATGCCTAAAGCCACTAGTTTTAGTTCATTTATTATGCACCCTATGCCCATCTTGTGGGCGATAGTGGAAAGGGCTACAGAGATGAACAATGAGACTAAGGAACCGAACCCCCCATGCAATTCATTTAGCTCAAGCAAGTTTTCTAGCAATCTTGATGAGCTAGTTGCAAAATCTAATGCACATCGTCACATATAAACAATGGGGCACAAGACAGACCATATATGCAGTTTCTAAATTAAAACAAACTGGCATATGTGGAGAGCTAGTACCACAATTGATATGTTTTTTATCCAGCACACTGCCCCTCCATCCAGCGGGCTGGGTTGCAATTGCTCAGTTGCTGCCCAACAGTTGGTCAGGGCGAGATACAGTCTCATTTAAAGAAATATACCATGTCCAATAGTTTGGACGTTTCAGAACTGAATGCGAACCTACATGAAGGTCGCTCAGCGTCCAGTGTGAATAAGGAAAAATAGAATGAATGAGAGGAAAAAAATAAATGGGGGAGAGATGAAATGTGGGATGGTAGAAGGAAGGAGAGAAAGTTTCACTCAATCTCTCTTTGAGATAGAGAAACTTGAGGATTGATACCTAAAGTTTTATAGTTTCAAATCTATCTAACTATGGGAGCCGGTCGGCCGAGCGGACAGCACACTGGACTTGTGATCCTGTGGTCCTGGGTTCGATCCCAGGTGCCGGCGAGAAACAATGGACAGAGTTTCTTTCACCCTATGCCCCTGTTACCTAGCAGTAAAATAGGTACCTGGGTGTTAGTCAGCTGTCACGGGCTGCTTCCTGGGGGTGGAGGCCTGGTCGAGGACCGGGCCGCGGGGACACTAAAGCCCCGAAATCATCTCAAGATAACCTCAAGATATAACTAGAGGTAACCAGATCTTATTCATTTTTATTTTATTTATTTATTTATATATATATATATACAAGAAGGTACATAGGGTTTATGACAGTACAGAGCATTGGTGTCTATACATTCTTGTAAATCCTTGTAAACGCACATAGCGTTTCGGGCAGGTTCTTAATCTAACAGATAATTTAGAGTAGGTAATTTCTAGCAAAATTGAAACATTTTTTACAGGTACTCTGTAAGAAAATTTGGCGATGATTAGTAGGTACATTAAAGTAGAATTTGAGGGTTATCAATAGGTACATTGTAGCATAATTTGAGGATTATTTCAAGGTATAATGCAGTAAAATATATGTTTGTTCATTTGCGTTCAGTTTGACAACCATGATATAAGATGATAACTATGATTATAATGGTGAGGTTTTATGGCTTAGTTACATATATTCTGACTATATATGCCTTATTTAAATTATTTAAGTAGCGATCTCTGTGGTACATATATTGAGTTGTTGTTAAAGATTCGCTACCTGGAACAAAAAGTTCCAAGTAACACGGGCTATGGTGAGCCCGTAGTGCCTTATATTGGCATATATTGAGGTCGCCAGCCGTATCTGTTTTATTAAAGAAATAATTTTCATAAAATATGGCAAGTATTTATGTAATATTTATTATAAAATAATTATAATACACGATGGCACTCTATTATAATAAAGGTGCGTTATATGGCAAATATAATGACAATATAAATAGGTTAATATTTTGATGACGGTTAATATTTTACTTATTATTATTTTAAATAAATATAGTTTTGCGAAATCATGTTGAGTTTTTGGGACATTTTTTTACGGCTTCGGCGGGTAGTCAGTTCCATACGATTATAATTATTTCGATTTTATAACCCGCCATGGAACTTTTTTATGCTGCCCCTTATTCTAACGGCTTAAGAAATACTATTGATCTTCACATTATTTTTTTTAACTTGCTTTTTAAAACTTTTAGGTATGCTGAAAATGTAAATGAAAGCAAAATGCAAACTATTACAATCAAATCAAATTAAATGTTTATTCAGGTAAAGTACATACATACAAGGTGAGATACAAAACATTGATGGATTTATAGATAGAGCTGGTTATCTTGAGGTTATCTTGAGATGATTTCGGGGCTTTAGTGTCTCCGCGGCCCGGTCCTCGACCAGGCCTCCACCCCCAGGAAGC